ATTCAGGAAAGTTTATTATCATAATGGATCATAGTTGTGGATTGTTGAGAAACGTTGCGGCACAATTGCATTCTGTACGCTATGATGTTGCAGAATATGAGGAACTTAGATACAAGTTTTTTTGTGATGGATGCATTAGTTCATTAATTAAATGTTGCTATATTGTTAAGAATTTTAATATAATTGACTCTGCATTGTCAACACTTTTAGACATTATGGTTGATAAGCGATTGATTTCTACAAAATTAATTGATAATAAACAACAAATAAGACAAATCGTTGATACTTTGTGGTCATTTTTGGCACCTCAGTATGAAATATTACACTTGAGAACTGTCCAGCTTATATGGAAACTTAAAGATATGTCTAATGCAAATCATGTCGAGGCTGTAATATCTGAATACTTAATACACAAGGATGCTGCTACAAGAGTTTCAAATTATGAACGTTTTGGTCTTTTTTGGGATCTATCAAAAGATTTTGATTCTAACGACATTTCGTTTACACAACCAATGTTTCTGATGTTAGACACTTTACGTGATGAAAATCCCACAAATAAGCGAGCTGGTGAAACTTGGATGAGATATAACCATAAAGCTTACTATAGAATTCTACAACCTATGATTGCTATATTTTGTGACTCGTCAATACTCCGACGAAGAGCTGAAGTGCTTATTGATGGAGAAGTGTATGAGACTCTTCATTATCAAAGACCATTCAATCAAGCACAAATTGATTATGTCTTTGAGACCTTATTAAGTATGTGTCACGTTGGCGGCAAAAGCTTCTTAAAAGCAATTCAAAAAACAGTTGATAAAGTTGACATATTTTCTAAATGTAGTTGGTTGTCTGGAAACATTTCATCTTTAACTTATAGCGAAATGTTTATAAGGACAGCATTGATATTCATTGAAACTGAATTACCAGATTCTTTAATATCATCTATGAGTATATTAAATGATTCAATTCATGTGCATGCTACAGAATTTCTTCATTTGTTGATCTGCAGTTATGAATATGTGGATAATGATTTACTTTATATGGTGCATGAGGGTATTTTGCGTAAACTTCTTTATTGTATTTCAATAAAACAATTGGATTTACAATCAAGACTTTTACACTTGGTGTTAACCTCGGTTATTACTATTAGCTCTTTTGATGAAAATGTTATATCTGGATCATCGTCATCAACATCCAACTCGATACCCTATATAATACAATTATCAGGTTATGAAGATTCAGAAGCAACGAAAAACTCTACAAATAATAAAGGGTTAATAAATCTACGAAAAGAAGGATCTTCCCAATTTTTCGTTAAAGTTTTGTTAAATGCTATTTCAAAATTATCAAATCGACCACTTTTGCAAGAATGGATGGATTTCATACAAATGTCTTTGCCATACTTTCGACAGTCTTTTAACATTATTCTAGTACCTTTAATTCGATCTCTTTGTGAACAATTGAGTAAGTGGAAAACAGATACACAAAATCATTACACCATTATAGCTCATATTGGTAAACCTACACCAGTTGAATGTAAAACATCACATCATGATTCAGCGACAAGTGATTGGGACATAATTACTTTATTGAACGGATTTGAAAAAATTGTAATATTTTGCCTGCAGGATAAAATGTTGGCTGAAGTTGATGGTTCATCTTCTAGCGCAAAAACGTATGAAGGGTTAACAGGATATGTCACAGGCGTTTTTTCAATGGATATGGGTCCTAGTGAACCTACAACAACCGAGCCAAAGGTTGGTATATCATTAAATATTGATTCTAACATTCACATATAATATTCATAACAAATTTTGTATTACAACTAGCCTCGAGATTACATTTTGAGTTTCTTTTATCCAAGTATTTCATCAATTATTTTGGATATATGGTCAATATTCAATAATAATTATTTTTCCAACAATCAATCACGAGTTAGAACAAATCCCTTCAATATATCATTCACTTACATGGGTGAAAAAGTAAAAAGCCGCATAAAAAAACTGCTTGAGCAATTATACAGGAACGCACATGCAGAACTCGTTGAAGCTTTTGTGGAGCTCTGGTACGTTGATAATCCTAACATTAGTATTCTTGGTCAAGAGGTACGACATTTTTTTTATTTGTGTATTAATTATACTGATTTTATCAACTATAATATTAATATAAGCTGGTTTTTGGACATTTATTATAGGATATTGGAAAACTTAATAACAATGTTATAGAAATTTTGAATATTATTCCTGGTTCATCACCTGTTAAAATAATGACTACTTTATTGGTGATAGCACGTGGAAAATCACAAAGTATACAATCTACACAGAGAACCAAAAAAGTTGGGTTAATGACAGGCAAATTGTATGAAATTTTAATTTATGCAATAAATTCCCACATCTTAACATCCGCAATAAAATAAAGTATTGATTTTTTATTTAGATCAGACATTATGATTATTCGATTTTTGGAATTTTATTCAAGTACAGTAGGAATTGATTCCTTGATTGAAATATGTCCACAATGTATGACCTACACCAAAGAATATTTTACAAACGGTACAATTTTTAAATATATTTTCCCCTCATTACTCCGGTTAGTTATTATTCTTTTATATTATATATATATATATATATATATATATATAAAATATATTTTTAGAAAAAAAATCATTGATATTTTTTTTTTCATAATTTATAATTTTAGGTTTTTACATGAGATCTCTGATAAATTAACAAATGCTATTCATTTTGAGGATAAAAAAGTTCGTCGCGATATGCAGGTAATAATATATCGATATAAATGTTGTAGAGATTTATATAGTCCACTAAAAAAAATATATTATTAAATCAATTTTTAGGACATTTATCAACGCGTCTTAGATTATTGTATCTTAGTTGCAGGTCGATCTTTTGACCAAGGAATTTGGCTTAGAAAATCAATTCCACAAAATGGGGAATTCATAACTACAATCGATGGTATTTTTGTCCGAGTTAATTATTTAATTATATTTTAGGTAAATTCGGTAAGTTAACAATAGTTGATTTTTTCTTTTATTTAAAAGCAACGGATGAGAAAGAAATAGAATCAAATACTCGTTCGGATACTCCACAACCTGATGATAAAAAATTTTCTTGGAAATCAAAAGAAGAATTCATCATTGATCAGGTATTTTTTTTATTTATTAATTTTTTTAGCTTGAAATTATAACAATATTAATGTATTAATTTTTCTCCTTCCTAGATCAATGTATATTTATCTACAGTTGTAATCCCCAATATTCGAAGGTTGTTTGCTGATCAAGACCGTATAACTTCAATATTGACAAATTTAATGTATTATGTCATTACACCGAATATAAAAAATCGTCAAATGTAAGTATTTATTTTTATAGACAATTATCATCAACATTTTATTAACTAATTTTATTTAAAATATTTTAAGTTCTGGGAATGAGAACATAATACTTGATATTTTAAGTGAAATTTCTCAAATTCCCTTTGCCTATCGTGTTTGGCGAAGAGAGGCCTGGGATGTTTTTTTAGATAACAGGTTTTTCAACATGACACCTGGGGCTTCAAAAAAATGGCGAGTGATTTTGCAAACAATTATGATTTCAGATAAAGAAAAATTCACAGAAGTCATAGGACGTGTGTCAACATCATCTGCCAATACATTGTTTGTTAGTAAAGAGCAAGAATCTTTAAATCGAGCACTGAGCTTAAGGCGAATTTCATTTGTTATTTTTTGTGGAGCGATTGATCAATATCTTCCACAACTTCCTAGTATTTTAGAAAAATTGGTCGACTTATTTAAATTACCAATGACAGAATTGGTTCATATTGAGGTAATTAAATATATAATTTATATACTTGTGTGCGTATATATAAAATTTTAAAACAATACAAATAATGAATTTTTTTTTTGTCATTGATAAATTGGTCTTTGACAAATTGTAGATATATTTGTGTCTAAGAATATTATTATGTAGATTTTCTAAGAGACATTTATCAAATTTTTGGCCAATTTTGTTAACTGAATTGGTAAGTATTTGAAATTGTTTTTTGTCAATAAATGGACAAATAATTGTTAAGGATAATCTGTATATATTTTTCTTATAATAGGTGAAGCTTTTTGGAATATTTATACAAAATGAAAATCCTGAACGGCCAGAAGCAGTCAATGTATTTTTGTCTGCATGTAAATTTTTAGATCTAATTTTTGTTTTGCAAACTGAGGATTTCCAAATGTAAGAATTTTTTTTTTTTTAATAAAAAATTTTATTTTCCTTTAAATTAATTAATTTATCTCATTTTGATTTTAGTTATGAATGGATGTTTGTAACTGATACAGTTAATGTAATAAATCACGCACTTGAATGGTCACCTTATGCTTTAATGGATAAATTGGGCGATCATTTATCAGGACAAACGGTTGATTTGTCAGGATTAAGAGCTGGAGTTCCATTAGCACCAATTCCTGATTCCTTAAATCAGGAAAGCAAACGTCCAATGCTCACACTTAAAAGTATTAATAATGTTAGACAATTGGAATCATTTATTAGAAATATTAGTTTATATGTTTATCAATGTACCTATACACTTTCTCAACCTGATATTCCATATATTGAAAATTTATTAGAAAGTGATTTATTAGAATCTGATGGAAATGAATCAAGCAGTAGTGGTTCGAATAGTGTAGAAGCTACCGTTTAATGAATACAACAATAACAATTTGTTTTTAATTTGTATTATTAATAACATTATAATTTAATTATTTTTTTCTAATTTACAATATATATTTATATATAATAAAGTGATTTGTTAGAGTCTGGTTGAAACGAATCAAAGCAGTGATGATTCGAATAGTATAGAAGTTACCATTTAGCGAATACATTAATAATAATTTTTTTTTAGTTTGTACTTATTAATATTATAATTAATCTAATTATTTTTTTTTCTCTAATCTACAACATAAATTAAATGAACAATTAATTAACACCAATATTACTTGGAAAATAAAACGAAAATGTCTGTGAAATGATCTATTTCTTTTGTATAATTAGATATTATATCAGTAATTTTTATTCCAGTAATTTTTTGTAACCCTGGACTTAACGGAATAAATTCCATGTTAAAATCAATATAAGCGTCGGGTGATAGTTCACCTAGTTGAATTGTTGAAATACCACTAATTAAAACAGATTCCGTTTTGTTTTTAATAGATGATATGATAACTGATAATGTGGAAGATGTACGATTTCTCAATCGACATCCTAATTTAAATGGTATTTCAAGTTCAATTATTGATGGTATTGAAATAACTGAAAGTTCAATTTCATCCAATAGTGGTGGTTTGCGTGCTAATTGACTTGTTTGTAATCTGCCAGTTTCGCCCAAGTTTGATCTCCATACAATATCTAATTTACCAAGTGCAGTTGTAGATCTTGCAGTTTTATCATCAATAGTAGGTTTTGGTGTTAACATATACAAATATTGACGAATATCTTGTGGATTTAAATAACTACCATCACCAAATATACTTTCAGGAATTGAATCAATTGATTTTTTTATTAAATCCTTTGATTGATTTGATTCATCAATATTATTCTCTGATTAATTTTGTTTGGAAAAAATTATTATTAATAATGTTTGACGTAAATAACAAATGATTAAATTGATTTTATTTTATTATTATTATTACCTTTATTATCGTCTTCTTCATCTTCTTCATTGACAACATAATTAAAATCTTTATAATTAAAAATCTCATTTGGTTCAAAATTCATTTTTTCCAAATACATATTCCTTTTTGATACATTTTGTATTAAAACTTCCAAAAAAATTGTCCCATCTGCTACACTATTAACTTTTGTTTTAACAGCAAAAGGATTTAAAACTTGGAATTTATAAAATTTAGTGAAAAGTCTTCTTTCACCTTCAATTGTTGAATAGGTAATCAGACTTGTTAAATTATGAATTCCTAATTCTTTAATTTCATGCTTTATAATAAATTCACATGATTTTTTTGGATCAAGAAGTGAAACGGGACTTGTTGACGTATCAATTAATAGTAAACGTTGTGAATTTGTCTGAAGTTCTACCTTGATCGATATATCACGAGCATATTGAAATGAATCGTTGCTGATAATAAAATGACTGTTAAAAGTTGCACCTAAATAGATATTATCAAGTGGTTTGGATGATGTTGATGGTAATAATTCAGTTTCAAAAAAATCTAAATCTTTAGTGCGAACTTTCGATTCTGCAATACTTGATGATGTATTGTTATTTAATGGATCTAAAGAATCTGTTGATGTGTTATTATTATTATCATTGTCATTCTTTTCTTTGTTGACGATAGACAAGGGATTTGATTGTCGAATAACCTTGAGAGATAACAAATGTTTTTGTTCATTTAAGAAATCTTGCATACTGCTTGTTAAAAGAAAGTATTTTGGAAATGGTCAGTGCAACAATGACCAAAAAAATATGATTACACAAATCAAAGATTTCTTTTATCAAAATAACAAGGAAATTCTTATTTTTTAGATCATGCTCACAGTGTTGTTATATAAACAAAAAATTTATAGGTAAAGTTTTATTGATGAGATCTAGTTTCAACCTATTACTACGTACTACTTTTTTTATTAGTACACGACAGAATACGTGAATGAAGTGATGAAAAAAACCATCTCCTCGAATAAAAAAAGTATTAATCAATTACTAATGTTGGGATTTACAATGGTGTAAGAGTTTAGGAGTAATCTTAAACAGGTTGCGAGTCAGATTGAATAAATGTCTTGCTAATAAATCAAATATTTAATTTACACAGAAATATAGTGAACTTGGCTCATAAATCCAAATTGCTCATCCATTATTTTTTGCTATTCCTGATTCATAAATAAAAATTTTTTTTAACAATAAAATAATTTTTATTCTAAAAATGCTCAATTATTTGTGGTACTGTGTCTATTATGTGTGGCATTTTCATCATTTATTGAAAATAGAAAAAAAATAATAAATGACGGGTACACAAAAACGCATTCTTTTTTCTTTAACTAATGCTCAATAATCCTGCAAGTGATAATAACAATATGAACGATTTTATTCAGTTAACTGGAACAACTCAAGACTATGGTATTGTAGAAACTTTACGAAGCCGCGCAATAAATTATAAAAATATGAGCAAAACTTTAGAAGATGAGAAAGGAGAATTGATTAATCAAGAACATGCGTTAAGTGCTCAAAATGATAAATTAGAAAAATATATTGAAAATTTACAACAAAATTTTGATCAAGAAAAAAAAAGAATAGTACAAAGATGTAATGAATCAGACGCTGAACTTAAAGAATTAAAAAAAAAATTTAAAGATGTTAACGAAGAAGCATCTAGATATAAATCAGCTCTTGGTAAAGGCACCAATTTACGTTGGGGTGAAGATGATTCAGCCCAACTTCAACAAACAATTTCAGAATTACAAAAAGCATTATCGGAATTTACTGATCTTAAAGCTAGAGATATTGTAATTAATGAAGAAGAAGCTGATAAGCTTTTAGCAAATTACAATTGTGCTGCTGTGTTTAATAGTAAAACTGGAAAGACAATATTTAGTGCAGCTTTACAACGACGGATACTTGATGTATCATTTAGTGAGATAACTGAATATTTGGAAAAATCAAATTTGACCAATAGAAATGATAATTTAGAATCAGATGTTAACCTAGCTATGAAATCCTTAGTAGGTTTGGCACAACGTTTAGCCGAAACACGTGAAGGTGATGATGATATTGCCAATATTACACCAGCGAAAGTGCGTCAACAAGTTTGTACGGTGTTGGGCACAAGAGGATTTTGTAAGGAGAACCATACATTCATTGAAACTTTATCTGATAAGATAATTAATAATGTTTCTCTTTATAGACCAATCAAATCCAATGAAAAGGATCAAATTAAAGTAACTACAATGAATCTGGTCAAGGATATTGCGCATTTATACTTTCGTTTAAATGCTCAACAACCTATACCAAATTTTAGAGATTTTTTTGTTGGTGGAATATCAATACAAAGTAATTTTATGGAAGGTACATGGGATGAAAACGATATTAAAAATTTAGAAGTTGAAGTTTGTTCTTTCCCTTTGATCTATACCAAAACTGATGATGGTCAAAAAGTATTACACAAAGCTCAAGTTATTACTAGACCAAAACTTAAACTTAGAAAATAGATATTTTTTCACACTTGTGAAATTAGTTTATTTATTTATTTATTTATTTATTTATTACTCATCTACTTTTTAATTTTATTAATATTTATTTTATATTTTATATTTAACAATTATTAATAAAAGGTATATGTTTTGAAATCCTTATTTTTGTAAATCTTCAAAATTCACTAACCCTCTGTTTTTAAAAAAGGAAGTTTTTTACAAACCATTTTATAGGATTATTCAATTTGCAATCGCATTACGCTAGTTGATACTTGATAATTGCAATTAGAATTTTGCTAATCGTAAATTGCTATTTAGGAAGAATGAAAGCAAAATTGAAATGTTGGCCACAAATAATTTGTCCAAGAAAATAAAAAAAAGCAATAATGAAATTGTTTAATTGCCTCCAAGAAGATATGTTAATAAGGGATTCTATAATCAACAAAATAATGTAATTATTGAAATATACTATATATTATATTTATTTTTATAACATAAAAACAATTTATTAAATTATAGATAGTAACTAAAAACCATCTAAAGTGAAAATTGCTTCAAAAGTCAACATAGAATAATGCCAACTTCTTATTGATTCTTGAAATGGTCCCAAACTTTTGTAGAGTTTTTTTTTTTTGTAAAATAAAAAATTTTTCATTTGTTTATAATATAACCTAATATACGAAAGATAATTTAATAAAATTTGTGTGTAAAAATAAAACAAAGAATCAAAAAATATCTTACAAGCCAACAAAGAATTTGAAATTATCTTATATGGGAATAATGGTGGAAGATATTTTAATCCAATATGACTTAAAACGTCAACGTTGGTATTTAATCCAAACTGCATTTTCTGAATGGTCATTGATTTCATTCCTAGTCAAAGGATGAATGTTCGCCCCTATGTAAAAGAAACCCCTTGAAAAATGCTCTTTTGGACACCACACTTCATATGATTGCACATATAATAAACATTAATGTTAATTAATAAATAGTTTGTGTAAATACAAGATCAAAATATGTTAATATTCATTAACAGATGATAATTGCATACAAAAATTCGTCAACACGTAAAAGGCTCGTTTATTTTATTTCGCGTAACAATTGTAGAAGGAAAGTATCCCCATTTTTTATTAACAAACAGGGTCTTTTGACCAAATTTGTGTTTTTTACATAATACTATCCTATAACATGTAGATTATAATTAGTGAGGATATAAGACCTCGGAGGTGGGGACAGTCCCAATTTATTATTTATTTAGATGTCCTCTTGCTCGTTCACCACTTCCCTCTCATCTGTTTTAACACATTGAAACAAGGCGAGCCATTTCGACCTGAAAAGATAAAACAAATTTATCGGCAATAGGAAATGAATACCAATTAGTCAAAAGATGGATAATGAAACAAAGTAAATTATTTAATGCAACTGGTAATCCATGTTCTATTGATCCAGGTGCTTGTACACCCTGGATGGTATTTGATTTTAATGATAGTGCAAGGTAGCCTTTTGTTATAGCCGATTATTTAACACGTATGGCCGATGATGGCTCAAACTTTTGGGCCACCATAGCCAGCTAATTGCAAGCAATTCACGATAGTTCGGTGCTTGTCAATTATTTAGCTCTCGGATTTACTTTGGTTCTCGCTTACTGCCCCGTTCTTGTACCCAGAAAGCCTCGGCAAACCTCTAAGTAACACTCAATGATACGCGATAACTGTAATAAACAAAAATGGCTCTTTTACAAAGCTAATAAAGTTCCTTCTATTCACTTGTGATCGATTATTTCAGCCATTTATCCTTGTCTATGTTTATTTTGCCGATTGCAAATTCACTTTCTTCATTACAAACAACTTAAACGGATCATTTAACTGCCTCACGTTTACAATAACACTATAGTTGTTATAATTGATCTTTTCACTAAAGCAAATTACGTTAATAGTCGTTGTTAATACTCACTAGTCATTCATCGTTAGTCCTAACTTTTGCTTATTAACTTAAAATATGGCTTTTTACCAAAGCTCCACAATTTTCGCCTTTTTGCTAAAGCGCTTTGCTTTAAACAAAACAATGGTTTTATAAAGTTTATTTATGATTTTTAAGGATGACTTTGCAGAGGTTTGATTTTATTAGAATGTTAAGGTGATATTTGTTCTCCTTTGCCTTTTCAAGTGAGGACCCGAAAGAAGTTATTTACAACTTGATTTAATTTCTTTCTAGATTGTTTATAATGAAAATCTTTGTAGAAATTAATATTCTAAAACATGAGTCGCCGTAATGGACAAAAGTCCGGCGATTAATCAGGTCCATATTAATATCCAAGATATATATTGCTTGTATCCGATTAATTATTACCTGTATCCGATCGATAATTGGACACAAACATTTATTAATTATCAAAATAAATTCGAGGTTGGGGAAGTTTGCTGATAACTATGGTGCCGTAATGGGCAAAAGTCTATTTAATAAATGGCACCTAACCATATAATTTGGGACAGAACCATTTTTTAGTCATCAACCCAATTATTCAATAATAAATGGATAATTCTTTATGAACGGCAGTATTTCTATAGTAAAATTTACTATTACTATGCCATTTTTTTGCCATCCCTCAATCTCATGTACACCCGAGTTGAGTATAACGTGGACCTTTTCCAGCAAAAACAGTCTCTGAGGTCATCTGATCCAATTTGTGTTTTTTACATAATATTAATCTATAACACAAAGATCATAATTAATGAAGATATTAGACCTTGTTTGCTTAATAAAAAAAACGGGGAATCGTAGGCCAGATGCCTTTTTAAAATAATTGGCACAAGTTTAAAATTGAAAATCGCCTCTGAGGTCATTTGACCGAATTTGTGTTATTTGCATAATATTAATTTATAACATAAAGATTATAATTGGTGAAAATATCAGATCCTGTTTGCTCTGTAGAAAAAAATGAGTAATTGGGCAATAAACGGCTTCGTTTTATATTGTGTAACTAAATTTGGATCCAATTTAAATTATTGAACACCTTATTATAGTGACATAAAAACAAAAAATTTTATGTATGACATCACAGATCGAGTTGCGAATTAATTTTGGGTAATAAAAAATCCGTGTATGTAATCCTTTTAAAGAGTGTAACACAACAATGTTTAGTAAATATTTGACAAATAGATATAGACTCGTCCGTATTAATCTTTTCTTAAACTGTCCAGGTTTCTTTAATTGTTTATTTTATAAGTGTAATATGATGTTACGACAGTGAAGCTAAATGAATTCTGAATTTTATTTTATTATTAATCATATTAATAACAACAACAACAATATTTACTGCCGTTTCACAAATAACCAAATTAATAGATGCCATTTATTAAATGGACTTGTCCATTACTATTACAGCGTCCCATAGATAAAACAATCCCGATCTTGTTTCAAGACCTGCTAAATCACAAAGTGGCATTTCAAAGTCATAAAGCAACCAACAGAAACTTTGCAGTGAGGAAGTTGGCAAGAAAAATCCAATAATGAGAAAAGGAAAAAGCATAATTGGAAAAAAAAGTTTGGATATGAATATTTTAAAAACTTATATGGAATTGTCAAACAAGCACATGATGCATTCGCCAACTTCTTTCAAAAACAACCCAAAAGGCTCTTCTTAACATCTCACATTTTAAATTTCGTTCTCAAAGATCAAAAATTTGCTACATCGAACCGTTTGATGTAATAAAAAATATAATTGTAAAGTATGTAGTAACTCAATAAAAATAGAGATTATGTGGAGGTTTCAAATGTTTAGTTTACGTTCCATTGTTAATGGACACATACATGTAAATGCATAGCGACACCTCGCATTAAATAGTTGCCCTCAATAAACGAAATTTATCTCCATAAATGTTGTATATACTTTTTATTTTTAGAGGATATTGATGGTCAATTTGAAATGGAATTACCTGATAATATTAACGATGATATTAACAATGATGAACCACCAGGTGAGTTGATGATATTGATTTCAATGTAATTATTCAGTTTATTAATCAAAAATGATATATATGTATGTATGTAATTGTTATTTTTAGAGGATATTGATGGTCAATTTTAAATGGAATTACCTGATAATATTAACAATGATGAACCACCAGGTGCGTTGATTATATTGATTTATATATTGAAATTAGTTAATGTAATTATTCAATTGTTTTAAAAATGATGTATGTGTGTATGTATGTATGTACTTGTTATTTTTAGAGGATATTGATGGTCAATTTGAAATGGAATTACCTGATAATATTAATGATGAGATTAATGATAATGAACCACCAGGTGAGTTGATGATATATTGAAGTTAAATTAGTTGATGTAATTATTCAATTTATTAATTAAAAATGATATATATGTTATCTTAGAGGATATTGACAATCAATTTGAAATGGAATTACCCGATATTAATGATGATGAACAGCCAGGTAAAATAGATCAATTATTTATTCAAAAAGAATTTGTTTGATTTTTTATTTTTTTTTAATTATAGTGTATTTTTTTTGGGCATAATTAGAGGATATTGATAATCAATTTACAATAGAATTACCGACCAATCATGATATTGAAGAACAAGTTGATGAGGATGATAAACCTCCAGGTTGGTAGATATTTACTATCAGTAGTTGTAATAATATTAATCATATTATTTATTTCAATAAACATAATAAACATATTGTTTTCTGTATATATGTATGTGTTTGTGTAGAGGATATTGATAATCAATTTGACATGGAATTGCCTCTTGAAATCAAAAGTAATGATGGTGAAGGAAAAGAAGATGATAAACCTCCAGGTAATTAAAACCATTAATACTTTAATTATAATTATTTATGTAAATAAAAATAACCTCATAAATTTTTCCCTTGTGTATGTTTATTTTTATTTAGAGGATATTGATAATCAATTTGAAATCGAACTATCAGATGATGATTATAATAATAATAATAAAGAAGAGGAGATAATAAACTCTGGTAAGTGAATTAATTTAGTTATTATTTTCATTTTAATCAAGAAATAATATTTTTGATTATATTACAGAGGTTCAAAGTAACCAAATAAATTCAAGTAGTCAAGTTGATGTTAGAGTATCAGGGACATTATATAATATAAATAGTAGTATTAGTGATAATAACAATAGTAATGATTTTATCATTAATTATGAAGGTGATGATGATAAACCACCAGGTAATAATAATTTAAATAATTTTGCTAACAATAATATTAATATTATCACTATTAATTAATGATTACTTATCTTTAACAGAAGATTTAGATAATCAATTTGTAATGGAATTGCCAATGGAATTATCAGTGGCAACATAATTATTCATTTATATATACATTATTTATTAATTTATAAAACTTAAATAGGATTGTACATTAATATTTTGTATTTTTATTATTTATTAATTAATATGTATTTAATTAGACTGAGAAAAACTTTCATAATAATAACAAAAAAGTTTTTTAGTTGTTAGTGAGATGTTCAGAATATATATATTTAAAAAGTAAAATCTTGTCAGGGAGCTTTAGAAAAGGATTTATTTTCAGTTGTGTGGAAGTTAATTGGGAAAGCGTATTTTTTGTCCAAGTTTGTCCAAGTTCTCTTGTGCATGTACTTCTTCTCCCTCTGATGGTGAAGAAGAGGGAGAGGCCATTCGGATTCTACTGCTTACTTCGTGGTAGTGGGAGAAATTCCTACAAGTGAATATAAATTTCGCTATTATAGTGCGCGTCATCAAATGCTACGCCACATGACCGAATCCACAATATTAAATTTTACAAATCTTTTTAAATCTTTTCAGCCTATAAACGTCGTGTTTAGTTTCTAATCTGATTCTCCAGTTTTTGTTTTAGTATTTTGAAGTTGACCAATTGTTACTATAAGCAATTAATGATTATAGTATTACGTTAATTACGAATTACGTATTTACGGTAATTACCATATCATGTATAGCACTGAAATGGGCCTAGAGGGATTTCTCTATGAAAAAATAACAAAAAAAAAATTTTTTTGGATGGCTGTCCTATTTATATGTTTCGAATTTAATAAAATAGACTATTGTCTTGGCCTGAGTGATGTTATTTTTTTGCAGAAGATGCAAAACCCAACTTAATTGAATTTTTATTCTCGCGTAGCACGGTATGTGTGTTTTGTGACACGAAAAGCTCACATTGCGTTCTCAGTTATAAGCTTGTTATGCGTAACAATCGTTTCCATATTTTTAAATTATAGGTAACAGACTGTTTTAATACCAATTTTTAATAAAAGTTTATTTTGAAATTATCAAGGAGATAGAATTTGAATTTTGTTCATTTTTTATTAATAAAACTATATCAAAAAAATTTTTCTTAAAGATCTATATACATAAATTTCTGAAAAAATCTGTATATATTATTTTTCATATAATTTTGATTTACATATTTGAGAATGGTTATACTAGTCACAACATAAATCAATAAATCTTTCCTACTAACCATCTTTTGTTCCACCATTAGATTTTTGTTGGGAGCTTCAATGATGTATCCACACACTTTTAAAATCACATCAAATTCAGTGTATGGTAGATACTTTGTAAAAGCTAAGATATCTATTTGATTTCTGGTTTTATATATACTTTAAGTATCAAATAAAATAAAATGAATATGAAAACATAAAATAAAGTAAAAATGTATATAATAAAATTAATCACCAAATCAGCATTCACTTTACTGATCTCATTTATATTGCTGTTGTCCTCAGACTAAAGATGGGAACCACAATGAGCTGCAATTCAATTTTCATATGCTGCAACTGCAACTGCAATTCAATTTTTATATGATACAATTAGTTGCAACTAATTGAAGAGCCATCTTTACCTCAGACTCAAGGTGCTTCCCAAGGCAAATTTCATATGCATCAGTGATTTTACCAGATATTATAGGGATGGGGCAGCTTGGTTTGGTTTGGTTCGGTTTGAAAAAGCGGTTTGAGCGGTTTTGAAGCGGTTTGAAAATTACACAAGATCTTATCGTGTGACGTACGTGATAAATAACATTGTTATAATTAAGGTGTGACGAATAACATAACAAAGTTGGCGTGACGAATAAGAAGCCAAAAAAGCAAAGATTTTCAAATAGTAAATAGTAAATATATACTAATGCCGGATTATATTTAAATACTAATATATCAAGAAGGAAATTGAGAGATATTGAACAAAGAAAAAAAACTATAAAATAAAGAAATAATGGACCGGAAATAACCAATTGTCACATAAAATC